GGGCGGGGGGTGCTGGTGTGGCGGCGGGGGGAGGGTACCCGGAAGCCACCTGCGAGCCCCCGGCCCCGGGAAGCTGCGCAGCCCGGTCGCCGCGACCCCGGCTCCCCGCCCCGGCCCCGCCTGGGGAGGGGCTGCGATCTCTGCACCCCGAGTCCAGAGCCCTTAGTGTCGTCCTGTTCCTGAATATCCACCCGGCTTGGGCTCTACCCTGGTCCCTCTGCAGCTGGACCGAAGGTTCACTTTGGAGTGGGGGGGGCTTTCCCCCTCAAGGCTGAGGCTGCAACCATTTCCTTTCAAAACATCTCTCGGTGTTGTGCTCAAAGTTTCCCCTGCAAGTTCCATGCAGACGGGGCTTCCCCACTTCCTCCCGGAGCTCTGATGCTGTCCTGCTGGCCCCCCCACTGCCTCGCCGCCCCCCCCCTCCTCCAGCAGGGGCTGCTGTGTGTTTGGAGGAGTCAGTGCTGGGGGGTATCGGAGAGGGAGGCTCCTCGGGGAGCCCCAAGAGTCCATGGGCCCCCAGGCCTCCTGTTGCCAGGGCAGCCTTCCTCCCCCTGGCTGGCCCCCTGGCTCCTTTTGAGCAGCACCCAGAGACCCTTCAGAGCTGGGAGGGGTCTTGGTTGGGTCAAGGTCAGTGGGGCCCCCTCCTCCTGTCTGGTGGACAGAACTCTCCCTGGTCTGAGGGAGAGGCAGAGTGTGTCTGAGTCCCCACCTGGGTGCACGTGGACCTCCTGGCCTCAGGATCTGACCTTGCTCCTTGCTGTTCCCATTCCAGACTTCTCACCATGGGTGAGTGGCCCCGGAGGACCCTCTGAAGCCGTGAGCCCTGGATGGCACTCCGCAGAGCCAGGCCAGGGATGGCGCCCCCAGGGGCCGGCTCGTCACCCAGCAGCCCCATGGCCACCAAGGAGCTGTCTCTGGCCGGGCTGCGCGCCCAGCTGGACCTGTGCCTGGCCTGCCCCCGCTGCAGTCAGCGGCTCAATGAGAGCACCTACCTCCTGCGCAGGGTAGAGCACAGTTGTCCCCGGGAGATCCTGCTGGCCCGCTTCAAGCGAGCCCCCAGGAGCCGCTTCTGGCACAAGGTGGACCGCCGGCCCAGCTTCCCACGGCCTGCCCGCTATGAGGTCTGCTGGTACTACACCCCGGGGGTCGGCTGCCAACGCCACCACAACCAGTGCACTTTCGCCCGCAGTCCGGAGGAGGCGCTGGTCTGGACCTTCGAGCGTGAGCACAATGTCCGGCGTCTGTGGCTCAAGACCGAGCTGCAGGGTGAGGCCCGGGGCGAGCTGCACGGCCCGGCGGATGCCATCCGTGCGGAGTACGGTGGCCACTTCCAGCTGCTGTGTTCCCACTGCTTCCGGTGCTGTCCCCCGCGCCTCTGCCCCGTGGACCCCCGGGGGCGCTGCCCCAAGCACGGAGCCTGCCCTGCGCTCCTGACCCACGTGACCACCGAGGGCCGCCGCAAGCAGCAGGTCGTGGAGGTGCGGCCGCAGCCCCAGTACGGCCAGCCGCTGGCCTACTGCATGTACGTGGGGCGCGGGCGGCCGTGCCGGCACGGGGCCTCCCGCTGTCAGTATGCTCACAGCGCGGTGGAGATGGCCGTGTGGGAGGCCGAGCAGCTGGACGGGCTCCAGCGGCGGGACCTGCTCTCGCCCACCGCGCCCAGGGAGGGCGAGCACGCGGCCCCCCACGGCCAGCCCGCAGCAGTCAGGCTGTATTGCCGTGCCTGCCTGGTCACCTGCCACTCCCAGGAGGCCTTTGAGAACCACTGCTCTTCCCTGGAGCATGCACACATGGTGGCCCTGGACCAGGCCGAGTCCTGGGAGCACCGCAGCCCGCCCATGGGGCTCTCCACGTTTGAGCTCTGCCCACAGTAAGGACAGCGGGGTGCGGGGGGGTGGGGGATGAACCCCCCTTCAGCTGGAACCAGGGGTTCTCTGTCCCCTCTGTTATCGGCTGGCCCCCGCCCTGGCCTCGGGGGGTGGTGAAGGGAGGTTGGTTCACTGAGGCCTCTTCTTGTGGGCACAGGACGGAGGAGGCCCCTGTTCCCGCCCTGCCCTGCCCCCAGGCCCGGATTCTACCCTGCCTCCCGCCACAGGCCAGTATCGGCTGAGAGGGCTTACCCCTGCTCTGCCTGCCGACCTCCCGTTTCCCAGACCCAGCCTCTGTGAGTACGGGGACGTCTGCACCAAGGCGCATTCCGAGCAGGAGCTACAGGAGTGGATACAACGGGCACAGACCCTGAAGCTGCGGGAGCAGGCCGCCTGGCAGGAGGGGCTGGTGTCTTACCAGGCACGGCTGCTGGCTGAGTACCAGCACAGCAGAAGTGAGGTCCTGGTGGTAAGTGGGGACCAAGTGAGTGGGCAGGGGATCGCCGGGGCGGGAGCCCCGCTGCTGACGGCCGGGCTTCCTGTGCAGGTGGCTGAGACCGTTGATGGCGTGTCCGTCACCTGCAGCCAGCCCTTGGTGCATCAGGCCCATGAGAAGAAGACTCAGCACAGCTGGATATTTGACATCCACTCTGAGGTGAGCAGTCAGCAAGCCCCGGGGTGGTTGGGGTTTGGGGTCTGGAGCTGCCTGTGCGTCCTCTCGCGGTGCTTGTGTGATCTGAAGCATGCCTGAGTCCTGTGTCGAGCCCTGTGGCGTTATTCTGTGGAGCGGCCGGCACAGAGAGTGAGGACTAGGCTAGTTACCTCGTGTGCCCTGAGCATCCCATGCTCCACGGGGGCTGCTCTGCGACCCCATTTGCAGCGGGGAACCCCAAGGTTCAGACAGGCCGAGCAGCCTTCTGGGCTCACAGCCAGGAAGCCCGGTATGGTGGGGAGGGGCGCGTGGGTCAGCCCGGACCCTGATGGGTGGGCAGGGTCTGGGGCCGCCTCACCATCCAGTCTCTCCCCCAGGAGCCCCTGCTACACGTGGCCCTGCTCAAGCAGGAGCTGGGAGCAGACTTCTCGCTGGTGGCCCCCTGCCTTCCGCCAGGCCGGCTCTATGCCGAGGGGGAGCGCTTCCGAGCGCGAGCCTCTCCGGCCAGGTTCCGGGTGGAGGTGCGTGTGCAGAGCGCCTCCTTCGGCTTCTTCGAGCAGTGGGTGGTCTTCGACTTCGGCCGCAGGCCAGTGCTGCTGCGGAAGCTGGGGCTGCAGCTGGGCCAGGTGCGCTGCCCGGGGCTCCGGGGGGTGGCGGCACGTGACCACCCCGAGGAGCTGGAGCGCTGGCACACGGGCAACCGCCTTGTGGTGCCTGCCGTGGAGCGGACGGCCGAGCAGGTGGCCCTGGTGGCCAAGTACAAGGTGCCCGCCCTGGCGCTGGACTTCAGCCACGGGGGCCCGGCGCCGGGTCCTATCTCCCGTGCCAACTACCGGCAGAGGATGCACCAGTTTCTCTATGAGGAGGAAGCTGCTCAGCAGCAGCTGGTGGCCAAGTGAGTGGGGGCTCCTGGGCCCACGGGGTCTGCTGGAGTGCTGACCGCAGAGCTCCGGCCCCGGTCCGCTGACCCTATTCTCCCCACCAGGCTGAACTTTCGGGGCCCGGTGTCCCTGAGGACAACCCTGCAGACGCCGGCCCTGGGCATGCTCTTCCCGCCGGCAGGAGCCCTCTATGCCAAGGTCCCCACCCCCTCCTCTCTGATGCCGGACACACACGAGGGCTTTCTGCTGGGCCGGGCGGTCAGCACAGCCCTTGTGGCCCCTGTTCCCGCACCTGACCACCGGGTGTTTGAGGTGCGGCTAGAAACCCGGGCCATCTCGGAGCAGGCACTGTGGCTCCTCTTGCCCACCCACTGCTGCTTGGCTCTGGGGCTGCAGCCCGAAACCAGCCCCATCTTGGAGGTGCAGTTCCAGATCGACCCGCTGACCTTCCGCTTCTGGCACCAGGCAGTGGACGCGCTGCCCGAGGAGCACCTGGTGGTGCCGGACCTGCCGACCTGTGGCCTGCCTCTGCCTCTGCCCACCCCACCCACGGTGCACGGCAACCACAAGCAGAAGTTGGCTGTGGCGTTCATTGCGGGCAGCTGCCCCAGGGGCATGCAGCCCATTGCGCCCCTGCTCATCTACGGCCCTTTCGGCACGGGCAAGACCTACACGCTGGCGATGGCCTCCCTGGAGGTCATCCGGCAGCCCCACACCAGGGTGCTCATCTGCACACACACCAACAGGTGAGCCCGGGGCTGCCCCCTGCTTCCTGGGCTGGGGCGAGTGTGCCACTGAGGGGTGTGTCACTGCCAGAGAAGAAGGGGGGCCTGGGGTCGCCAGGGTCACTGGAGGCCTGGGCAGCTCACGCCAGAGTGGACTGCCAGGGTTGCCTGGCCATCGGCAGAGCCGGGTCTGGGCCGGGCCTGCATCCTCTGGCTGCGCCGTGGACACGGGGGCGGGGACGGTGCAGCCCTTGGGTGGTCAGGGTCACGCTGATCCTTGGGACTCTCTCTGATAGCTGATCAGCCCTGGGCTAAAAGAGACGGGATATGTGTGCCTTGGGCCCCGTGCGGGGTGCCCTGGGGGTCAGGGTCTGCTGTCCGGGGGCGGGCTGTGGATGCCTCCACAGGGGCCCTAGACCAGACAGAGTTGTGGGTGGGAGTCTGGCATGGCCGCCCAGCGTTTCCCGGGGTGAGGCTCTGGTGTTGTCTTCCCTCAGTCTCTCTCAGTTGATCCCTTTTGGTCAGTATGGTTTTCTTAGCCCCAGCACTTCCTGCTGCCCGGGCAGGGCTCTCTCCCAAACTGGGCCTCGGGATCCCTGGGGTCCTGGGGAGCAGGTCCCTGCAGAGATGCCCAGGGGCTCTGGCATGTCCCCAGGATGCGCCGGCCCTGGGTGTGAGGGGCTGGCCTCGGTGCTTCTCACCTGGGTGCACGTGGGTGCTTGCCCACCCGCCGTCACTGCCCATCTGCCCGCCGGCCGTCACTGTAGCCTCTGGCCGCCCTGGCTGCCTCAGGCCGGGGCCCCTATGGTTCCCCTGTCTGCCTCTCTGCATGGCCAGCTCCTTCACCTCCTCCTCTAGGGAGCGCTCCCTGACCACCCAGGCCCTCTGTGCTGCTGCCACTTCTCCTCCGGCTCTGACCGCCGCCCCCCGCCCCTTCCTCTGTCCTCTGCTGGTGCTTAAGCTCTGCGGGGGCGGGACACGGGTCTGTCTGCCTCCGCTGAGTCCCTGGCATCCGGGCTGGCTGGGCTCACGGGGTGCTCTAGCGGACAGCTGCCGAGGCCCCGTGTGCCCTCCCCACCTCAGCGCGGCCGACATCTACATCGAGGAGCATTTCCACCGCTACGTGAGCAGCGGCCATCCCGAGGCCTCTCCGCTGCGGGTGATGTACGCGGACCGCCCGCCCAGCCAGACGGACGCAGCCACGCTGCGGTACTGCCTCCTGACGGAGGACCGCCGGGCCTTCCGCCCCCCGACGCGGGCCGAGCTGGAGCAGCATCGCATCGTGGTGGCCACCACCTCCCAGGCCCGCGAGCTCCGGGTGCCGGCCGGCTTCTTCTCGCACATCCTCATCGACGAGGCCGCCCAGATGCTGGAGTGCGAGGCGCTCACCCCGCTGCGCTACGCCTCGCCCAGCACCCGCGTGGTGCTGGCCGGGGACCACATGCAGGTCACGCCCAGGCTCTTCAGCGTGGCGGGCGCCCAGGCCGCCGGGCACACCCTGCTCTGCCGCCTCTTCTACCACTACCAGCAGGAGGCGCACGAGGTCGCCCGGCGCAGCCGCATTGTCTTCCACGAGAACTACCGCTCCACCGGGGCCATCCTCAGCTTCGTCTCGCGGCACTTCTACGTGGCCAAGGGCAGCCCCATCCACGCCAGCGGCAAGGTGCCTGGCCACCCCGAGCGCTACCCGCTCATGTTCTGCCACGTGGCGGGCAGCCCCGAGCGAGACATGTCGGGCACGTCCTGGCTGAACACGGCGGAGGTTGTGCAGGTGGTCGAGAAGGTGCAGGACATCTACCACAGCTGGCCCCCCTGCTGGGGCGGCCGGGAGCAGAGGCACATCTGCGCCGTTTCCCATGGCGCCCAGGTAAGCCCCAGCCGCGGCGACAGCCTGCCCGCCCCGCTTCCAACGGGGCGCCCGGAGGAGGGCGCGGTCCCTCCGTGGTCTGGGGGGCCTCCCCGGCCTCAGTTTCCCCTCCTGAGAGAGGGACCGAGGACATAATCTGCCAGGGCGTGATGAGGGCTCGAACCCCGCCGCTGGCGCCAGGGCACAAGGCGGTGGGGGCCGGTGTCCCACGCCGGCGCTCACCCCGGCCTGCTGCTCCGGCCGTGTGTGTCTGCAGGTGGGCGTGCTAAGGCAGGAGCTGAGGAAGAGGGACCTGGGCCAGGTGTCTGTGGGCAGCTTTGAGATCCTGCCAGGTGGGTGATCCGTGCTGGGGTGAGGGCGGGTGGGCGGCGCCCGCCCCGCCCCCGCCCCCGCCCGGCCTGACCGTGCCCACTTGCAGGGCGGGAATTCCGCGTCGTGGTGCTGAGCACCGTCCATAACCACCACAGCCTGCTGAGCTTGGGGGCACCTGCCCTGGGGTTCTTCACCGACGCCCGTGTGCTCAACACCGTCATGACCCGCGCCCAGTCCCAGGTGGTGGCCGTGGGCAACGCTGTGGCCCTCTGCTCCTTCGGGGCCTGCAGCAAGCTCTGGAAGAGCTTCATCCGCGAGTGTGTGAGGCACCGCAGCATCTGCCCCGAGACTCTGACCCTGGAGCACATCGAGCAGGACGTGGTCCGAAGGCAGCGCTGGGCCCTGCAAGCAGAGGGGACTGGGGCAGCCGTGGCCCAGGACACTGTCCCAGAGGAGGGGGCGGCAGGGACTCTGGCCACAGAGCACGCAGCCACGGAGAGGGTGGGTCCAGCGGCCAAGGCTGAAGGGACGACATCCCTGTCCAAGGCCTCGGCAGCGGGAGGGGACGCAGCCGCACAGAGGACAGAGGCTGGGGACGCGGCACTGGGGCCCGTGGCCGGGGGCTGCGCAGCGGTGGGGGAGCCCGCCAGGCTGCCCACGGAGGCGGAGGACGCGCCGTCAGCAGGGAACTCGTCGATGGGGAGCAAGGCCCCCGGGAAGGCGGTGGCAGGGCCGATGGCCACGGAAAACGGGGAACCCGAGGACCCCGAGGACTCTGAGTCGGACTTCTGGCCTTCCGACACGGAGCTCAACGCTGACGACTCCATCCTGCAGGAGCTCCTGGACGAGGCCCGGAACGTGATGGTGACCGTCCGGGAAGATGGGCTGCTGGACACCGTTGCCAGGCCCCAGTCCCCATGCCAGGCCCAGCAGTACAGGAACCTGCCACGGGCCACGCTGCGGAAGCTGCTGGCCACGGAGCCTGCGCTGCACCGCCCCTGTGCCTTTGTGCAGGAGACCTTTGAGCGGGCGGTGGCCATCCCGCTGGATGACACAGATTGCGGCCCCATCCAGATCAGGGGCCGCTTGCACTGTGGGATGGCCTTCAGCGGGGACGAGGTGCTGGTGAGGGTCCTGGGGGGAGACCAGGGCTCCCCCGGGAGGCTGCAGGGCCGCGTGATGGGCGTGCTCAAGAGGAAACGCCGCGAGCTGGTGTTCGTGTGCCGCATGGACGAGTGGGACCCCCGCCTCATGACCCCCATCGACGGCTCCGTGACCAAGATCTTCGTGGCCGAGCTGAAGGACCCACTGCAGGTTCCCGTGCACCGTGTGCAGCAGGGCCGCGTGCAGCGCGTGGGGTACGAGCGGCTCCCCGCCGAGGCCCGCAGCAGTCGGCTCTTCTGGGTGCGCATCGTCTTGTGGCGGCAGCGCTTCTACTATCCCCTGGGCATCATCCTGGAGGTGCTGCCCGAGGCCACCACCTGGGAGCAGGGCCTCCGCATCCTGGACCTGGAGCACGGCCTGAGGAAGCCCTCGCTGGAGCCGGCCTCCGTCAGCAAGGCGCTGCAGAAGTGTCGGGCAGAGCTCGGCCGGGCCCCCGACCGCCGGGAGGACTGCCGCGGCTTCCTGACCTTCACCGTGGACCCCCAGGGCGCCTGCTGCCTGGATGATGCCCTCAGCGTCCGAGATCTGGGCTCCACGTACGAGGTGGCCGTGCACATCGCCGACGTGGCCAGCGCCATCCCCAGGGACGGGCCTCTGGACCTGGAGGCCCGCAGACGGGGCACCACGTTCTACGCCCCTGACCGGGAACCTGTGCCTATGCTTCCAGCCAGCCTCTGCCGGGACGCACTCAGCCTCCTGCCCGGCCAGGACCGCTTGGCCATCTCCCTCTTCCTCACCGTTGAGAAGGGCAGCGACCAGCTCCAGAGCCTGCGCTTCGCACCCTCTGTGGTCTGCTCTGACCGTCAGCTGTCCTACGAGGAAGCCGAGCACGTGATCAGGGGGCACCCGGGCGCCGGCCACGAGCTGCCAGCCCGCCTGGACTCTGTGGACGCCGGTCTCGTGGCCGCATGCCACTTCTCCCGGGTGCTGCGCCGAGCCCGCCTGCGGACCGACTGCCACTACGAGCAGCCCAGTGAGGACTGCGTGCTGGGCTTCCGCGCGGCCCACGTCATGGTCAAAGAGTACATGATCCAGTTCAACAGCCTGGTGGCCGAGCTCCTGGTGAGCAGCGAGCACACGCAGACCGTCACGCCGCTGCGGTGGCAGCCCGCGCCCAGCGAGCACCAGCTCGGGGCCTTGCGTGAGAAGCACCGGGAGCTGGTGGCCCTGTCGCTGCACCTGCGGCACCGCCTACGGGGCCGCGGCCCCCCCGGCACACAGGTCCACCTCCTGGGCTCCCTGTGGAGGCTCCTGCAGCGCGCAGCCCGCGCCGGGGACCGCGACCGGCTGGCCGACCTCATCACCACGGATGACATGCACCCCTCTCTGGCCCCCGTGGGCCTCGACTTCCGCAAGGCGCTGGGCCGCTCGGTGTTTGGCCGCTCCCGCCACGGGGCACGGCAGGCGGCCGGCCACTACGCGCTGCAGGTGGACTGGTACACGTGGGCCACCTCGCCCATTCGCCGCTACCTGGACGTGGTGCTGCAGCGGCAGGTCCTGCTGGTGCTGGGCCACGGGGGCTCCTCCTACTCCGCCAGGGACATCGACGGGCTCTGCCAGGAGTTCAGCCACCAGCATGGGCGTGCCCAGAGCTATCAGCGCCAGGCCCGAAGCCTGCATCTGGCCACGCGGCTCAAGGTCCAGCCGCGGAGCAAGCTGGGCTTCGTGGTGGGCGTGGAGGCGGGCGCCCGCGGCTTCAGGCTGCTCTTCCCAGCCGACCCCGAGACCCTGCCTGACCCCTGCCCTGTCCACTACCGCTCCCTGCAGCTGGCGGAGCACCCCAGCGACCCGGTGAGGCGGCCGGGCCTGCGGCTGCGGTGGCGGCGCCGAATCTACTCGGTGCAGGCGGACAGGCGGCCCTCCCTGGTGCCCGGCACCCTGCTGGACCCACACCGCCGGCGGGTCGAGGCCGCCCTGTGGCAGCAGCTGCTGGAGCTGGTGCAGGAGGGGCGGTGGCCCGAGGCGGCCGCCCTCGTGCGGGAGCAGGACGCGGCAGAGCCCCAGCCGCTGGAGCTGGGCTGCGTGTGGCGGAGCCGCTGCGGCCACTTTGTGGAGGTGGCCCGGGAGCTGGGCAGTGGGGACACGCTGCAGGTGCAGCTCAGTGCCGTCCTGCAGCGGGGGTTCCTGGTACCGAGTCTGCAGCTGTGCGCTGTGGTGCCTGGCCTCACCCTCTGCCTGGAGCACGTGGACCGGCCAGGCGCCTGCTTCCTGGACCAGATGCCCCGCGCGGCGCGGGACCGCTGTCTCGACCTGGGCGAGTACTCCCGCGTGTGGGGGTCGTTCTGCTCCCTGGAGTCGGCCACCAGCGCGGTCTCCGAGGGTGACTCCATTACGCTGCAGCACGTGAGCATATCCTGGGATGCGGAGCAGGTGGCCCAGGGCCAGCTGTGGGGCTCCCTCTGCCTGGAACCTTCCTTCCTCGGTGAGCACGGCATTGACCTCAACTTCGGCCACTGCTACCTCTGCATCCGGCTCGAGGGGCTGCCGGCCATGCCCGCTGCAGGGGAGCTGTGCCCCCCGGCTGGCCCTGGCCAGCCTCCCCTGGCCGCCCCGCCCTGCGGGCCCCTCCTGAGCATCGACCCTGACACGTACACATGGGTGGCCCACGGGCTGATGGAGCCCTGGGACCCGAAGGAGGGCTGGGCCGACCGGCAGGAGACCCCCAGGCAGATGCACTTCTTCATCCAGCACATGGCCATGGAGAAGGTTCCAGAAGAGGTGCTGAGACCTGACACCCGATTCACCATTGAGGTGCTGCCCAAGCAGCTTCCTGACATGTGAGTGGCCCCCACAGGGAGAAGCCGGGGAGAAGCTGGTGGGCGGGGTGGGGCGAGAACTCCCTGGGTGTCCTCCCGGGGGGAGTCCTGTGGACGTCCCAGGGTCCATCTTCACTGCCACCCGCCCCCAGTCGCAAGGAAGAAGCCGTGCGTAGGTTGAAGCGTGCGTCCCCGCTGGTCGTCAGCATTGCCCTGGGCCGGCCCATCCCTCCGGCCTGCGGTCTTCCTCCCCAGCAGACCCTCCACAGAGGTAGGTCGAGGGACCCTCCAGCGCCCCCCCACCATGTCCCTTCATCCTGCCTGGGCCCTGCCCTGCGCCCCTGCTCAGGCAGGCCTGACCCTTCCTTAGGGACGTACAGGAGGCTCCTGGAGAAACAGACGTTCGACCTCCCTGGAGGCTGCCACACGCTGAACTCCAGCCAGAACCGGGCTATCAGGGCGGCCCTGCAGAAGCAGTTCACGGTGATCCAGGGCCCGCCAGGTGGGGCCCGAGCTGCGGGGGTGGAGTGCCCGGGGCTGCCCGCGCAGGCGGCCAGGGTCTCTGTTCATGGTGCTGTCTGCCTGCAGGCACGGGGAAGACGGTGGTGGGTTTCCACATTGTGTTCTGGTTTCACAAGTCAAATGAGGAGTGGGTGAAGGCCTGCGGCGCCCCCGGTGAGGAGAAGCCGCTGGGGGGCCCCTGCATCTTGTACTGCGGCCCCTCTAACAAGTCGGTGGATGTCCTGGCAGGTGCGCTGGGCTGGCTGTGTGGGGGCTTTGCCTGGGGGTGCTGGCCCTGGGGACAGTCTCTCATGCCCCGTTGCCCCCAGGACTGCTGCTGAGCAGGAGAGCAGAGTTGAAGCCGCTGCGAGTGTATAGCGAGCAGGCCGAGGCCACCGAATTCCCGGTGCCGGGTGTGGGCAGCAGCGGCCCGCCCAAGAAGACCCCTCGGGAGGGGAGGCCCAACCAGGCCCTCAGGTGCAGTCTGTCGGCTGTCCGTCTATGGGTGGAGGCAAAAGGCCCCACGGCCCTGTCTTGGGCGAGGGGTAACACAGGGCTTTATGGATGTCCCCCCCACCCCAGGAGCATCACCCTGCACCACAGGATCCGGCACCCCTCCAACCCCTATGCACGGGACGTCAGGGAGCTCGATGCCCGTTTGCAGAAAGGGGAGGTCTTTTCCAAGGACGACCTCAGCCAGTAAGCAGTTGGGGTCGTGGAGTTGTCCGTTGCCGTGGAGGTATATGTGGGGCGGGGGTCCCTGTATGACCATATGGTGTCCCCGGGCAGGTACAAGCAGGTCCTGGGGAAGGCGCGGAAGTTCGAGCTGGAGCAGCACAGGGTCATCCTGTGCACGTGCTCGTGTGCGGCCTTAGCTAGTCTCAAGAAGCTGGCTGTCAGGCAGATCCTCATCGATGAGGCAGGCATGGCCACAGAGCCCGAGACCCTCATCCCCCTGGTGACCTTCTCAAAGGCGGAGAAGGTGAGTGAGCTGGGCGGGGAGCTGGGAGCCCCAGGCAAGTGTCAGTGGGTGTGGCCTTTTGCCTGGGAGGGCAGCTTTGTGGTCGTGGTGGAGTGGCCGCGGCCATGGAGCTGGGGGCCTCATCGGCAGGTGTCAGGACTGTGCCTGCCTGTCCCTCCAGGTGGTTCTTCTTGGGGACCACAAGCAGCTGCGGCCTGTGGTCAAGAATGAGCAGCTGCAAAATCTGGGGCTGGATCGGTCTCTCTTCGAGAGGTATCACATGGACGCCTACCTGCTGGACACTCAGTACCGCATGGTAAGCCAGTCCCAGCCTCTTCCAGCCCAAGGTGTGCTCTGAGGCCGGGCATGCCAGAGGTGTTGCTGCCCACACCCCGACCTCCTGTGTCCACCCTGGCCCCCAAGACCCCCAGCAGATAGGTGACCTGCCCTGGCGCATGCCCTGCCTTGCAGCACGAGGGCATCTGTACCTTCCCCTCCATGGAGTTCTACAAGAAGAAGCTGAAGACCTGGTGGGGCCTGAAGCGGCCGCCCAGCGTCCTTGGCCACACCGGCAAGGAGAGCTGCTCTGTCATCTTTGGCCACATGCAGGGCCGGGAGCAGAGCCTACTGGTGTCCACAGATGAAGGGAATGAAAACTCCAAGGCCAACCCGGAGGAGGTGGCAGAGGTGGTGAGTGTCAATGAGACTTTCCCGGGTGCCTCTTGGTCAGGGAGGGCTTCCTGGAGGAGGAGGTGGAGGAACTGGGGGGACAGATCCAGGGCAGGAGAGGTACCAGGGCCAGCTTCAACAGCACCCCCTTGGTCCCTCAGGTCCGCATTGCCAAGCAGCTGACCCTGGGCAGGACAGTGGATCCCAAAGACGTCGCCATTCTCACTCCCTACAATGCTCAGGCTGCGGAGATCAGCAAGAGTCTTGGGCGAGAGGGTGTCACTGGAGTGACCGTGTGCTCCATCACCAAGAGCCAGGGTGAGTGCGGCTCTGGGGCAGGGGGCTTGTGGGCCAACAGTCCCAGGGTGGGGGCAGGTGGCATGGCTGGGGCCTCATCATGCCTGCCCAACTGCGCAGGAAGTGAGTGGCGCTACGTGCTGGTGAGCACCGTCCGCACGTGCCAGGAGAGTGACCTGGACCAGCGGCCGACTAAGAGCTGGCTTAAGAAGTTCCTGGGCTTTGTCGTGGACCCCAATCAAGTCAACGTGGCCATCACCCGGGCCAAAGAGGGACTCTGCTTCATCGGTAGGACCGCTCGGCTCGGGGTGGGGAGGGGTGGGCGGGGTTCCTCCTGGGGGGTGTAGGCTGCTGGTCTGGGGGTGGG